AACCTATTTGAATGCAAAATGAGAACCCTCAATTCAGGAAGAGCTCCCAACCAGGAAGGGAAAATATCTTTGATCTTGTTTTTTCCAAGATCAAGAAACTCTAACGTTTTGCAGTTGCCTAGTGATCTTGGTAACCTCCCATGCAAATTATTTTGTGCCATTTTAATTTCTCTGAGTTGGTTTGTAGTTTCCCATGTTTCAGGAATAGGACCATGGAAGTTATTTCCTTCCAAGTTTAAAACCAACATGGAGCTAAGGTTGCCAAAACATTGCAGCATCGTTCCACTCAAATTATTGTGAGACAAATCCAGCACTTGAAGAGAAGTCAAGTTGCAGAATTCAGTTGGAATTTCTCCACTGAACATATTCCCGGAAACTAAGTAGAAAAGGATGGAGAGTGGTGGGATTGGTAGAGAACCTTTGAGAAAGTTAGAACTAAGGTCTAGATAAATAAGACTAGAAGGAAAAACAAGGAAGGATTCTTCAAACCTTGTGAATTTGTTGTAAGAAAGCTCTAAAGTCCACAAACTTGCACTCAAGTTCAATATCCAACTAGGTATTTGGCCATGGATGTTGTTGGAGCCGAGGCTAAGGACATTCAATTCACTTTGATTACGCAAGAAGTATGGAAACTCTCTTAGATTACAAAAAGAAAGACCAAGTATTTTAAACTTTGGAATTGTTCCATTGGTGGGAGTTTTGATTACTAATGAGAAATTATTAAAGCCTAATTCCAAATATTTAAGGAATTTGAGTTCAAGAAATGTGTCAAACTCAACAATACCACTTAAGTTGTTGAAGTAAACAAAGAATGTTTCAAGGTTCTTGAGTTTGGAAATTGAGCTTGGAAGAGATCCCTGTAACATATTAGACCCGAGATTCAATTGTCTTAAATTTGTTAGGTTTGAAATCCAAGATGGAAAATGGCCAGAAATATGATTATAAGAAAGGTCTATCTTTATGAGATGGGTCAAGCTAGCCAAAGAAGAAGGGACCTCACTAAAAGTGAATTGATTTAATCCGAGATTTATTTGAGTTAGTTGAGTGAGGTTTGAGAAGAAAGGGGCGTTTTCTCCCTTGAAAGAATTATTTGGGAGGTTCAATACATGGAGCTTGGTGAGATTACCAATTGAAGGTGGTACCCAACCTGAGAGATTACAACTACTGACATCTAAATATTCCAAAGAGCTAAGCATTCCTATTGAGATAGGTAACTCACCAGAAAAGGTTGTGTTTCCAACATCGAGTGCCCTAAGCTGACTGTGAGAGTGAAATTCAGGAAAACTACCACTAAGTTCCCAATTGTTCTCCAAATCAAGGACTTGAAGTTTAGGTAGTTGAAAAATGTCTATGGGAAACTTTCCATGCAATCCACATTGACCGAAGTGGAGATGTGTCAATGACGATAGATTTGCCAAGGCCTTTGGTATTGGAGAATTTATACCAACATAAGAGAGGTCAAGCCATTCTAGCTTGGTTAAGTTTTGAGGTATGTTTTTCAAATCAGACCTTTTGAGTTCCAACAATCCTTGATGTGAATGATCAAGATTGAAAGAAAGGTCAAGCTTAGCTAAATTGGAGAGTTTTGAAATTTCATGTGGAATTTGACCAGAAAAGAAAGAACCAGAGAGATTGAGATAAGTTAACCTTGAAAGATTGCCCATTGTAGATGGTATCTTAGAGGAATTGAAGTCGTTGAGTGCAAGGTTGAGGTATTGAAGGTGTCCAAGGCGGAAGAGGCTGCTGCTGGAATTGATAGAACCAAAAAGACAACTGCTACTGAGATCAAGGCCTATGACATGAGAAGTGTTCTGGTCACACGATATGCCCTCCCATGAGCAGCAATCAACCCCTTGAGATTTCCAAAGACTGACTTTAGGACGAGTAGATGCTTGCCTTTCAATGACAAAGCTATCTTTGAATTGCATTAGAGCTAGATACTCATCCTTATGACACAGTTGCTGATGTGAGGATAGTTGAAAGAAGGAGATCATCAAGAAAACCAAGCTTGGAAGAAAGAAGTGAGTGGAGGAGGAAGCCATGGTTTGTTTGGATATGTTGGTTTTGAACTTGTAGAAATTCATGAAAGTGAAGGGCTTTTATAGAAAATTACATCCAGTTCATCTACTAAGGAAAAGGGCAAAAGCTTGGCCCTTTTGAACCCACGTATCACACAAGTCTTTTAAGCGTTAACCATCACTATTCATAATA